AGTCAAGAAATAAAAGAAATGCTGTACTCAACATATAAGCTACAGAGAACCTCTTTAAAATAGTAAAGAACAAAAATGACACTTTTAAATACAACCAATTACTTTCCTAATAAATCCCATAATCGTTGTTGTTGTTGTTATGTGCTGTCGAGTCGCGTGCGACTCATAGCGACCCTATATACAACAGCCCTAAACTCCGCTCTGTCCTATGCCAATCGCACTGTCTCTGACACTCCCATCCCAATTCTCCCAGTCACTGAATCAATCCACCTCATAGAGGGCCTTCCTCTCCTGCACTGTCCCTCCACCCTCCCAAGCATGATGTCCCTCTCCAAGGACCGGTCTCTCCTCACTACATGTCCAAAGTATGTTAGACGGAGCCTCAGAATCCTTGCCTCCAAGGAGCCACCTGGTTTAACCCTTTCCAGGACAAATCTATTTGTTTTCCTAGCAGTCCATGGTATTCTCAATACTCTTCTCCAGCACCACAGTTCAAAGGCATCAATTCTCCTTCTATCCTCCTTGGTCATTGTCCAACTCTCTGATACATAACAAGTGATTGCGAAGACCATGGCCTGTATCAGACGCACCTTAGCCTCCAGAGAGACACCATTGCTCTTCAGTACTTTGGAGAGGTCCCTAACAGCAGACTTTCCCATGGCAATGCGCCTTTTAATTTCCTGGCTACTGGTGCCAAGACTGTTGACTGTGGAGCCAAGCAAACTAAAGCTGTGTACAATCTCAATCTCTTCACCATCCATCCTGATGCTGCCAATTGGTCCAGTGGTGAGAATTTTTGTCTTCTTGACATTGAGCCTCAATCCATATTGTAGGCTTCAGTCCTTGACACTCTGCAGCAGGCGCCTCAGGTCCTCTTCAATTTCAGCAAGCAGGGTTGTGTCATTCCCGTAATCATTAGTATTGTCTAATTGTGAGTTCCGTGTGATCATGGTAACAAATTAGCAAACCTCGAAACAAAGAGCTATGGTGGTCTAGTGGTAAAAAGCTGTACTGAACCCAAAGGCATGCAGTTTGAATCCACCAGATGCTTCTTGGAGAAGGATAGACAGTTATCCTTCCATGAAATTTATTGTTTCTGAAAGCCTGTTGGAGGGGCAGCCACGTGTCAGTTCCAACTTGACAGCACACAACAAGAAAAAGTAGTAGAGGGAAGTGGGAGGGAAGGTGAGTGTTGGTACTAGAATTGAGAGAAAATAGTGTGCGATATTGTGGGCATGCTGACCTCATAAGAATCAACTTCATTACCCACTAACCTGAGATGGAAAGAGAGAGAGAAGGGAGTAAAAATTAATAACTAGGTAAGTTGAGTTTTGTATTTACAATGATTTATTCATTACAAATACATTTCTTGAAAGACACAAAAGATGGCTTATACGTGGATTTCACCTGATAGGCTGCATAGGAATCAGATTGACTACATTTGTGGAGGAAATCATTGGAGAAGCTCGCTATCAGAAGTCAAAACTAGGCCAGGGGCAGACTGTGGGTTAGATCATATGCAAGTTCAAACTGAGGCCAAAGAAAATTAAAATAAGTCCACAGGAACCAAGATATGATCTGGAATCAATTCCATCTGAATTTCATCATCTTAATAAGTTTGAGGCACTGAACACCAGTGATAGGAGACCAGATGAGTTGTAGGGTATCAAAGATATTATCCAGAAAGAAAGCAAAGGGTCATTACAAGAAGAGGAGAAAGAAAATATTGAAATGGATGTCAGAAGAGACTCTAAAGATTGCACTGGAGCATCAAGAAGCCAAATCTAAAGGAAAACATGTTGAGATTAAAGAGCTGAACAAATATTTCAAAGGAAAGCTTGGGAAGAAAAAGCAAAGTATTATAATGGAATGTGCAAAGAGTTGGAATTGGAGACTAAAAAGGGAAGAACTCTCTCTGCATTTCTCAAGCCAAAAGGACTGCAGAACAAATGTAAGCCTCGTGTTATAATATTGAAAGATGCTATGTGCAATATATTGAATGACCCAGAAAGCATCAAAAGAAGATGGAGTGAATACACAGAATCACTGTACCAGAAGGAATTGATAGATACTGAAAAATTTCAGAAAGTACCGTATGAACAGGAACCAGTGGTAATGAAGGAAAAAGTAGAGCTGCATTGAAGGCATTTGCAAAAAATAAGACCCTCGGAATTAATGGGATACCAACTGACTTGTTTCAATTAGCAGATTCAGCCTTGGATGCCCTTACCAGCCTATGTTAGGAAATGTGGAGGACAGCTGTCTGGCCAATGGATTGGAAAAGGATTGTATTTTTTCTCATTACCAAGAAAGGTGATCCAAGTGAATATGAAAATTATCAAATAAGATCACATGCAAGCAAAATACTGCTGAAGATCATTAAAAACAGCTGGAACAGTACATAGACAAGGAACCGCCAGGAGTTCAAGCAGGATTTAGAAGAGGCTGCAGCACGAGGGATTGCTGATGTCAGATGGATGCTGGCCGAAAGGAAGGGATATCAGAAGAATGCCTATTTGTGCTTTATTTACTGTGCAAAGGCATTTGATTATATGGATCACAACAAGTTGTGGCTGACATTGAGAAGAATGGGAATCCCAGAGCACTTGACTGTGTTCATACAGAACCTATACTTGGATCAGGAAGCTGTTGTGTGAATGGAGCAGGGGAGCACTGCATGGTTTGGAATAGGAAAGGGAGTGTGTCAGGGTTGTATTTTCTTTCCATTCCTGTTCAATCTATATGCAGAACAAATTATCTGAGAAGCTGGACTCTATGAAGGGAAAGGAATGTGGCACCAGGATTGGAGGGAGACACATCAATAACCTGTGCTATGCAGATGACACACCCTTGCTTGCTGAAAGTGAGGCAGACTTGAAGCACTTGATGCAGAAGATAAAGGAATGCAGCCTTTAGTATGGATTGTATCTCAATACAAAGAAAACAAAGATTCTGACCACTGGACCAATAGCCAGTGTCATGATGGATGAAGAGGTGTTTGAATTGTCAACAGCTTCATCTTGCTTGAATCCATAATTAACACCCTTGGTATGAGCAGTCAGGAAATAAGAAGACTTACTGCACTAGGAAAATCTGCAGTTAGGGACCTTTCCAAATCGTAGAGGATTAGTGAGTTTTGAGGGCTAAGGTACATCTGATTCATGTCTTTCTCATTACTAGCTATGCATCCAAGACCTGAACAATGAATAAGGATGACAGAAAAAGAATGTATGTTTTTGAGCTGCGGTGGTGGAGAAGAGCTCTGAACATTCCATGGACAGCCAAGAACGAATAGATATGTCTTGGAAATCGTGCAGTCAGAGTGCTCTTCAAAACAACAATGGTGAGGCTTCTCCTCACATACTTTGGACATGTTGCTAGGAGGTGCTATTCCATGGAGAGGGACATAATGCTGGGAATGGTGGAGGGTCAGCAAAGGAGAGGAAGACCCTCAAGCAAGTGTATTGACATGGTGACTGCTGCAATGGGCTCTTGTGTGTCAGGAAGTATGAGGATGACACAGGGCAAACAGGGTTCAGACCTCTTGTTCATAAAATTTCTATGAATTGTGCTCAACTCAATGGCACCTAACAACAAAAACCAGTTGAGTGAAGGGAAATATGCTTTAAGAGGTTGATTGAACATTATAATGAATTCTATTAAACAATGGTAATGTTATAAAACAAAATGTCTATGACCGGTTGTAGCAAAAGCCAGTATGATTTGGGCCTACCTTCCACAGTTCCTTTCCAGGAGGCATGTTTGTCCCTTTGGGCATGTAACTTTCTAATAAATTTGCCTTTACTATTTTATCCTAAAAAACAACAACAACAACAAAATAAAACAACAAACCAGTATGATTTCTAAGAGATCATTGAAATAGGAATAATTTTTAAAAGAAAAAGTCAACTTTGTGCTGTTAATATTACTGATGGATATTCTTCCCCTCATGATGGAGATCAGAATCTGCCATCCAGTGTGAGCCATACTGTTCTTCCAGTATCAGTGGGGAAATTGTATGTGTACACACACACACACACACACACACACACACACGTTTCAAGAGTTCCATGATTGTCCTGGAATGTTTATTAGAAGGTTGACAGTTCTCGTTCCCCAAGAAGTAACTTGAAAGAATAGACTGATTGTTTGACTTTAAAAAGCAAGTAACAACCCAATGAAACTGATAAAGGGAAAATAAATAATGGAGCTGTGAAGTGGAAAAGGAGATTTTATTGTTGTTCTTGCTGTGTGCTGTCAAGGCAGGATCAACTTATAGCTGACCCTCCAGATGATTTTCAGAGGTAGTAAACTGCATGGGAGGAGATTGTCCATTTTCTACATAGCAGCTAGTGGACTTGAATGACTTGCCTTTGGAGATTCAGAACAGCTTCTTACCACTAGGCCACCAGAGTTCTTCAAAAGAGTAATAGTAGGGTTAATTAAAGATGGAGTGATCAAAGATTATGTTTCTGAAGATAAACCAAAGATTTAGAAATTTGGCCTGGATTTATTAATCCTTATTTGGGTGAAGGGAAAAGAGTCCATTCAAAGGCCATTCTGAATTATCTGCTTGTATTTCTCTTCTACTTGGCATCATATGTGAAGTGGTTTTTGACAACACACACACACTCTTTTCAAAGGGTGCCTTGTTTTCAGATGATTCATTAATTGAGGTATCACTGCAGAATTTGGGATAAATTTCAGCTTAGCCAACAGAACTCTTTTTAGCGTGGTTTCCTTTTCAATCCCCTTACTTTTCCTCCTCTACCTCTAAACACACTCTTCTTCCTCTTAGAGCCCAAGTAATTTCCGAACCTTCTGTAACAAGTTCCCAGAGGCCCATTGTGCTGTAACAAAGCATTCCAGCAGTGAGCAGGTTCTGTCCAGGCGTGCCCTCAAGCGTAGAAGGCTACTTTGTCCCTCATTAATGGCAGAGCAGGAGAAGCATTGCCCAGGCCTCTTGGTTTACTAGACACTAGAATCCAAGCAAGATCATTATGTCAGTCAAACTTGTTGGGTGGATATTCAGCCATGTGTTGAAGAATTTTTTTGGGAAAAGTAAACAAATTTTGTTGTTAAGGGCATATGAGTGTGGGAACCAATTTAGAAGAAAGCCCTACAGACTTTCCTGTGTTCCCTGTCACCAAGGAAGGGGATCCAGTGCTCCATGTTACGTTAAGTTGTGTAGAGGAGTTCTATTTGGATAAGCTCCCCCCAACCCCAACTTCTTCTTTTGTCTTAGACCAGGGGCTTCAAAAAGTAATCATGGACGTTGCAGATGAGTTTAAAGATGAATTCCCTGCAATCCTACAACTGTCACAGTCAACCCAGGTAATAAAATACGTTAAAGTTGAAAGGTAATATAAAAAGCAAGTTGTATTTTTAGTATCCTGTGAATTTTTTTAATGCTTGGTTTTTGTCATTGTCATTTACTTGCTTCAATCAAACTCCTATTTTATGTTCCCTTTCATTTCATTTATCTTACTTATTTTTTTGTCTCCCTTCTCCCTTTCTTCTTACCCCTATTAATACTTGGTTTTGAGATCCGTGCTTAAAACATAAGAAAACATTCGTTTCACTTCAGGTAAACAAATTCCAAACCTTACTCAATGAGAAGGAGCCTGTGGAAAGCAGAAAGAGGAAGTAAATCAGATGAATGAATTAAGCTGAAAGAAAATCGCTGTTATTAGATTAGAAATCTGAAACTCTCTCATAATTACAATCTCAATGGGTTTTACTCAAGACTTGCTTAATGTTAAATGTGAAAAATATCTTGGTAGGCTTTAAACCAAATTTGTCTAATTAAATGAGAGTGAAAATCTCATTAGGAGAAATCTTAACAATATGGTATATGTTTTAATGTGGAAAGGAAATATTATGTTGGTATTGAATTGAAGTACCTACCTAAACTTCTACTCCAAAAAATTCTTACCACTGGACCAATAGATATTATGATCAATGGAGAAAATATTAAAATTGTCAACAGCTTCATCTTACTTTGATCCACAATCAACACACTTGATACCAGCAGTCAGGAGAACTAATTGCACTGGCAAAATCTACAGTCAGAGACCTCTCCAAATTACTGAGGAGCAATGATGTCAGTTTGAGGACTAAGATGCATCCAAATCAGGCTAAAGTCTTTCTGATCATTTGCTATGCAACTTAGAGCTAGACAATAAATAAGGATGGCAAAAAAATTGCTGCGTTTGGGCTGTGGTGTTGGAGTACTGAATATTCCATTGACTGCCAAAAGAATGAACAGATACATCTTAGAGAAAGTACAGCCAGAGTGCTCCTTGGAGGCAAAAATGGAAAAGCTTCATCTCATATTTTGGTCACATTACTAGGAGAGGCTATTGTCTCGAGAGGGATGTCATGCTTGGAAATGTGGAGGGTTGGTGAAAGAAAGGAAGACTTCCAAAAGAAATGGATTGACACAGTGACTGCTGCAATCAGCTAAAGTATATCAGAGATTGTGAGGATGGCACAGGGTAGGACAGGGTTCAGATGTGGTGTTCATAGTGTTGTGAGTGCTCGACTTGATGACAGGTAACAATAACAAATACTCCAAAAATTATTTGAGATAGATGAATAGCATACTGTACATGGAAATATAGAGTTTTAAAGAGACATGTGATCAGGGAAGAGTAACCTCTTATTTAAGAGGTACACATAACTCTTACTAAAAGGTACAGAGTTCATAATGGAAAAGTGTGCTTCAGTCATTCTAACCAGTTGCAATAGTATAGTAAGTTATAATGGTATTATGAACAACACACATATTTAGAAAACAGACTCTTAGGAATGTCTAAGGAACAAAGTAAAAACTTTAATAAACAAAAAAGTATTCTGAGTAGTTCACTAACATTGTTTTCTTTGTTGGCCTATGCTTCTGAGTTCTTAGAAATCCTATTCACAATGGAATCAGATTGCTGTGACCATAAAGATTTTTGTTTAATTAGAAAAAAATTTTATTGGCTTATTTTTCAGAAGTAAATCAGTATGCCTTCTAAAATTGTCTTAGTCTGGAAGTTCTGAAATCTGTTTGGTATCATTGTAACATTTTAATCGCTTGCTCTGAACCCTTCTCTATTTTGATCCAATTTCATTGTTTCTGACACACTTACTCCGTTAACTTAGTCTCTGGCGTCAATCCATCTCATTCAGGATCTTCGTCTCCTGTACTGTCCTTCCAATCTTGCAAACATAATGTCATTCTCCAAGGACATTCTCCAAGGGTCCCTCCTGGTCACATTACCAAAGTATGTGAGATGGAACTTCAGAGTCCTTGCCTCCAAGGAGTAGCTTGGTTTCACCCTGTCCACAGGACAAAACTGTTCTCTTAGCAGTCCATAGTATGTTCAATATTATTCTTCAGCACCACAACTCAAAGGCATCAATTCTTCTTTTATCATCCTTAGTCATTGTCCAGCTCTCTGATGCATAGCAAATAATTGCAAAGGCCATGGCCTAGATCAAGTGTACCTTAGTTTCTAGATTGCTATCATTGCTCTTCAGTACTCTGGAAAGGTCCCTGACAGCAGATTTTCCCCAATGCAATTCTTTTTTTTTTTTTTTATTTCCTGGCTGCTGCTACCAAGAATGTTGATTATGGAACTAAGCAAGGAGAAGCTGTTGACAATCTCAGGCTCCATCTATCATGATATCATGGCCCAGTGGTGAACATCTTTGTTTTCTTGATATTGAGCTTCAATTCATACTGAAGGCTGCACTCCTTGACCTTTTGCAGCAAATGTCTCAGGTCCTCCTCAGTTTCAGCAAGCAAGGTTGTGTCATCCACAGGTTGTTGATGGCTCTTCCTCCAGCCCTGATGCCACACTCTTCCTCATAAAGCCCAGAATCCTAGATGGTCTGTTGTGCATATAGATATGGAGATTGAGTTTATCCTTGGCATATACCTTTCCAGATTTTGAACCATGCAGTGTTAACTTACTCTATGTTGACAACTGCTTCCAGGTCCAAGTATAGGTTTTGCATAAGCACAATCAAGTGTTCTGAGATTCACATTCTTCTCAAAGGTAACCACAATTTGTTGTGATCCACACAGTCAAATGTTTTTTTGGCTTGTTTTTGGTTTGGGAGGTTTTTTTGTGTGTGGTGTTTTGTTTTGTGGGGTCTGAAACACAGATAGACATTTCTCTGATATTCTTTGATTTCAGGTAGGATCCAACTAACATTAGCTATAATATCCCTAGTGCCAAGGCCTCTTCTCAACCCAGGCTTCACATCTGACAATTCTCTGTTTATGTGCTGTTCCAGTCATTTTTGGATACTCTTCAGCAGGATAGAGTTTGGAGACTTTAACATTTATTGGCATAGTAGGTGCACTTAAAGGAACCTTGGTAGCATAGTGGGCTAAGTATTGGACTATTAATGGAAAAGTTGGGAGTTCAAATCCACCAGTCACTTCATGGGAGATAGATGTGACAGTCTATGCCAATAAACATTCAAATCTTCAAACTGTATAACACATTTCTACTCTGTCCAATGTGGTTACTATGAATCAGGAGTGACTCAGTGACACTGAGGGTTTTGGCTTAGGTGGACTTAAAACCAACTGGCTGAGAAGTTAAGTTTCTTATGTGGAAGAAAAGAATTATACCACTGAACTATCGCTTCCCCCAAGAAGTTTTAGAGCCATCATCAGCCATTCATTCAGATAACCAACCCATTGGGCATGCCTGGATGAGGCACATCTTATTCTCTAGACTGACATCATTGCTCTTTAGCATTTTTGGAGTGATCCCTGACAGCAGATTTTCCCAGTGCAATTCATCTTTTGATTTCCTGACTGCTGATGCCAATGATGTTGGCTGTGGAACCAGTAAGCTGAAATTGTTAATAATCACAATCTCTTCTCCATCTTTCATGATGCTGCCAAATGGCCCAGTGTTGAGAATCTCTGTTTTTCTTGATGTTGAGCTTCAATCCTACTGAAGACTGCAGCCCTTGAATTTTTGCAGCAAAAGCTTTAGGTCCTCCTCAATTTCAGCAAGCAGAGTTGTCATCTGCCTAACACAGGTTGTTGATGAGTCTTCCTCCAGTCTTCCTTACAGGGTCCAGCTTCCTGAATAATCTGTTCTACTTAATGTCAATGAAGGAAAGTGTGAAATGCGCACACAAAAATACCCCAAATACTTTGTACATAAATGGAAAAAACTCCACACAAACACAATGTTAGAGAATGATGCTATGAAACACAATGTGAATGAAGGAAAATGAGAAACACAATGTATATGAATTTTGTATGCAAACCAATATAAAATAATTTTTTAAAAAAGTTTGGAGACAGGACACATCCCTGATGCACTTCTTTCTTTTTTTTTCTTTCTTGATTTTTAACTATGCAGTGTTTTCTTGCTCTGTTCTGACAACTACTTCCTGGTATAGTTTTCAGATGAGCACAGTCAGGTATTCTGAGATTCCCATTCTTCTCAAAGTCAGCCACAGTTTGTTGTGATCCACACAGTCAAATGCCTTTGCACAGTCAATGAAACACAGACATTCCTATTGTGCTCTCTGCTTCCAGTCAAGATCCATCTGACATTTCTATGATGTTCCTAGTGCCATGGCCTCTTCTAAACCGAGTTTACATTTCTGGCAGTTCTCTGTTGATGCACTGTTCCAGTGTTTTTTATAATCTTCAGCAGGATTTTGCTTGTGGATAATATTAGTGATGTTGTTTGATCATTTCAACAATCTGTAGGATCACCTTTATCGGAATGAGACTAAATATGGATCTCTTCCCTTCAGTTGGCCAGGCACTTGGTAGTTGTCTTCTAGGTTCTTTGGCACAACTTGATTAACACGTCCAGGGTTGCATCTGTTTGTTGAAATTCATCAATTGGTATTACTTGAAAAGGCCAGTGAAGGCTTCATGGAGGTTGTTGTTGTTGTTGTTGTTGTTACATGTTGTCAAATTGGACCAACTCATAGTTGACCTTCCAGCAAGTTTTGAGAGGCTGTAAACCATAGAGGAGGAGATAGCTCATTTTCCTTTCACATAGCTGCTGGTGGATTCATACTACCAGAGAGGTTATGACCCACCTTTGAGAAGGCAGTAAAGCTCCCTTTTTATTAGGCCACCAGAGAGCCCTATTCAAGTAGTGCTTAGTTTAAAAGATGCATAAAAGAAGGTATAAAAGTTCTAGAGTTAAAATGAAATTTTTAAATTGTATCTTAGACTTCAGTTATCCCCCACTTTGTGTCTTTCTACTCTTTATTATTTTTAATCGTTGGAATCTTTGGAGACTTTTCTTGGCTATGCTCTAGATTATTAAGGGAAGAGATAAGAAAGTGTTCATGCC